CAGGCTGGCCTCAAACTCACAGAAATCCATCTGCCTCTGCTCCTGAATGCTGGGATTAAAGGTGCCCAGCTATTTTATAGCCTGCAAAGCCTGAAATATTTATACTCTGACCCTTGAACTACGTTTGCTAGGGAAAAAAAGTTTGCTGACTGTTGCTGTAAATCGTTTCTTAATGGAAAGATCCTCCTCTCCCACTCCTTTGTTGTATTTAACATGGATCTTGATATAAAATACTTAATTCAAACAACAAGTTTAAGGAATTTATGAATTTAAGTATATAGTTTATCCTAGGAATATTTTGCAATTGCATCAGAAAAATAATGCACACAGAACTAACTAGAAACAATTTCTTAATTCATGAAACTGGTATTGGTAAACAGACTACGCCTTGTAGAGCAGTTAGAGAGAGAAACCCTCTTTGTAGATGAGGCTGGTGACCCCTGTCATTGTCTTCTACTTGGCTTGGTAGAACCAAGGATTCTAAAGTTTCTTGACTGAATGGGTGAATGAAATGGGATACCGAGTGTGAAGGGCCTCATTCAGGGACAGCTTTAATAAGTGGTAATTATTAATATTGAACCTCTCAGGATATATATTTGTTGCTTGCAGATCAAGTGGCTCAAATATTTGCATAAGATGATTCTTTGACTTCAAAAAATAGTAAATTATCCCATGCTTTTGCTTTTAAAGGGTAGTCATTTGATTATTGGAGTATCTTTATCACATTTAATTCACTTTAAATTAGAACTTAAGTATCTATCAGGCTTTAAAAATGTGATATTAGACTACAGTAGTTTGTTTGGGGACACTGGGCCACAGTCCTCCAATGGAAACAGTTTAAGTTATACTTACATACTCAGTGAATGAGTTATGCAAAGAAATGTGAGTTGCTGTACTTAAGGAATTTGTAGTGGGTTGGAAAAATAGCTATGCATGCTGAAAGCTAGGGGAAATGTGAATTACTAGGTTTGTTTTTAATTTATTCTCCCCTCCACATAGTGGCTTTTCCTTCTCTCTCTCTCTCTCTCTCTCTCTCTCTCTCTCTCTCTCTCTCTCTCTCTCTCTCTGCGTGTGTGTGTGTGTGTGTGTGTGTGTGTGTGTGTGTGTGTGTGTGTGTGTGAGAGAGAGAGAGAGAGAGAGAGAGAGGGAGGGAGGGGGTGGGGAGAGGGAGAGCACGCAAACACACACACACACACACACACACACACACACACACACATTTTTTTCAGACTGAGTCTCACACTGTCTCCAAACTTGCTATGTAGCTGAGAATACCCTTGAACTCCTCCTGATCCTCCTGCCTCCACTCCCCAAATGCTGGATTACAAGTGTATGCCACTACACCTGGCTTAAATATTTATTTTGTTCATAATAAATATTTTCTTTTTGGTCTGCTTTGGGGATTCAATCCATAGCCTACTTTTAGAAGTTATGTGGTACACACAGTAGCAGAGTAACTGGATGAATTCCCGTTTTCTCTGTGGTCCTGTTGCTAGATGTTTCAATGTATGTAACATCAACCAATGCCGTTTGTTTCCTGCCTCAGTGTTGACAGGGAAATTAACTTCTCTTTCCCAATTTTCTTTTTCTAAAAATATTTCATAGCCTTGCTCATTTTATTTTTCAAGTAATTAGGCATACTGTTTTGCAGGGAGTGTGTAGGGAAAGTTTGGAGAGAGCTGTGATGCTTAAGCAGTTGATGTTTTAGTATGTTACACTTGGGGTTGCTCATCACAGCTTTGTGCAAGGAATAGTGGCAAGACTGAGCAGCTGACATTTCTCTCAAAATCAAAACTTGTAATCCTCCTCTCTTTCAGAGAACTTAGGTATATCTTTATACAATAGGACAAAAGAGGAACTAGATGTTATTATTGAACACATAGAAAATTTTCTAAATATTCTTGGTTGCTAGCTTCCCATTCCCATTCCCATTGAGAATTTTTGAGCAGGTGACTCCTGTCCTGTCCACATGTGTCCCCTGTAATATTCTTTAAATGATACTCTGCTGTTGCTGCTATGGATCTTGGATTTTATTGCCTTTTGTTAAAGGTAGTTTCTAGAAGTGAAGAGGAAACCGTTTTTACAGAGCTTGGTCATAACTCATTGACATTTACAGGTTATAGAGTTAACAAGTTTGGGGGAACGTGTGTTTTACCTGTTGTCGGTCTTTAATATGCTGGATGAGAGTTAATAGTTTTAAATTTTATTTTGTAGTGATAAAAATTCTGTAAGTTTAAAGAGCAGTAGCAAAAAGCAACCATTCTATGGAAAAATAAACCTACTATTGGTTAGCAGAAAAAATAGCTAAGGAGAGATGCAGAGCTCTCTCCTTTTACTCATCTGATGGTTTCAGTACCCCTAAGTCCAAAGGTTTCAGAGAAAGGCCGTAAAGTAGCAGCTTATTCATGGGTCAAGGAGTGTTCTAATCTTCTGTCATTGCTGTTATCCAGATCCTATCTTGTGTTTTCTTTCAGCGTTGAAAGTTAATAATTTCGATGCAAGCAGCTCCTTTTTGTTATTAGATAAATGCTTATTTAAAATCTTTTATTCTGCTTTCATATCACTTTTCTATCTTCAAATACAATTTTCTCAGATCTTTTAAGTAGTACCTTCAATGGAAGATCATTTTTAAAGAAATAATTATTTAGTAGTACATGGGAACAAGACATGAGTGTCTTAATTTCAGTCTTCTGTTTTCCTTGCTTAACTACTGCCTTAAGGCATCTGCCTTGAATTCGTGGATGCGTAATTATTTCAGATCACTTTAAAAGTTAACAAGCATAACACATTTCAAATGAAAGTATCTGTGGCTTATACTTTTCTGAATTAAAAAAATGTAAAAATTGGTGGTATCTAAATCTATCCTAGTTAAAAAAAAAATGTAATCATGAACTTTTGTTAACAGAGCCACGATACAACATTTTAAGATGAGAACTGAGTTATTGATGCCAAATTCACTCATCTTAAAATGTAGGATTTTCAAATCAAAATAACAAGTTGTGAAACTATTATGGTAGTATTTCCTTTTTATTTGAAAATAATTATATGAAAGGTGTTTGCATATATGTGAAGGTCTGTAAGTTAAATACTAAGGTATTTCTGTACTTTCTTTTTTGAAAGAGAGTCAGGAAAAATGGTAGATTTAAAAGCAGTCCGTAGTAAATATTAAGTGAAATTAATGTTGAAAAGTATTCCCCCAAAAAGGAGTTTCCTAAGCCTTGAGAGCCATTTTAATTTTGAATTTTTTTAGGGTTCTATATAATATATCCATATAGGACAAAATGATTTAGTGGGCCCTAGCAGTGTAATAGTCCAGTAAATTCAACAGCATTATAGGAAGAGAAATAGAGTAATTGAGTAAAAAGTCTGAAGATACGAAAAAGTAAACTAATTCTGTACCTGTAGTTACCTTAGTTCCTTAGTATGTTAATTAACTAACGTGGTCACTACAGAAACCAAAAAACAATTCAGAGCAAATATCATGATATAATTTGCATTCCATTTTCTCTGTGAGTATAAGTTGTTAGATATTGCAACATATGTAACATAAACCACAAGTCAGCTGTTTCCTGCTTCACTGTTGACAAGGGCCCCATTCATAACTTCTTTTATCCTTTCAGTGAATAAGTAATTATTCAATATAGAAGGCAGGATATTTGGAACTGGCTATTTAATGTGGCAGCACTCTGTAATGAAATCTGCTGTTACTGGCAACCTGAGAGGGGAATGTAACAATTCCAGCATGACTGTAACTTTATCTGCTTTGACTGAATGTTTATTTGGCACATCAGTGAACCTTTTATCCCTGTGAGTGACAGCTCCAGAAGGGTCACATTTACATCCATTCTATCATGTATTGTAATATTTAATGGCGGACAAGGTTGAGCGAGACCAGGAGTAATTTGAACTTGCTTTCCCACTGAGCAGAGGCTAAAAGACAGCTTGATCTCCAGTATTGTGGTGTAACATACTATGACTTAGCATTTGTTTATGAAGGCTAATCTTACTGATTACAGTTTTTAATGCAGTAAGTAGAGTATTTTCTCTACAAAACCGAATCTTTCCAGTGTAAATTCTTCAAAATGAGTGCGCTGCTCACCTTTTTCCCTCAGTGATTGTTTCACAGCATTTCTCTTAAATGAAGCTTCATTCTGTCTCGTTTGGTGGAGGACTTGAAGCTTTGAAGGGGCTATTAGTTAAGAATCTGTGAGTTCTCATAGCATTAAACTTGCAAAAAAGGGGGTGGAGGGCAGAATTTGGAGGCAGGAATTCAAATCAGGTAAATTTTAGACTATTCCTGAGGTTCCTTTGCTGTATTAAAGAGATGTTTACATGATTTCATTTACGATACTGAATTACTAGTGAGCTTGTCCAGGGCGAGCTATTCTGGTCACAGTTTTTCTGGTGGGTTTTCATTTCACATATATAATTGGATTTCAGACATACTTCTTCCATGCAAACTACCTGTTTTTACTCACTGTTGAATGTTGATATTTTTGCATTCATTTTCATGCCTTTGCTAGAGAAGAATTTTCTTGACTCATTTTGTAGTGGTGCTTCAGATTCAATTTGTTATGTCTATTCTTCTGTTAACCACTTTTCAAATACTTTTTAAAAACACAGAATATTTGAGTCGTGCTGTGAGAAAAACTAGCAGTTCTGTAATGTCACAGTGACCCAAGAGAAATTGAAATGATCTTCCAATGTGTTATCATTTAAAAACGATAATTTTATAAAAGATAAGTGTTAAGATGTGCGTTAAACGTTTGGAATTGACTATGTAAGAAAGAATGTAAAGATGGAAGCATTGTTTATAGCTTTGAGAAGACAGAGAACTAAATGTGAAGAGTGTAGTTTTTTCAATGATGCATTTAGAGACTGTACTGTCTGAAAGCGTCTTGGACCCTTAGGATCCTTACTTAAGGGCTTTGATCTGAGAGGTGTCACAGTGTGTGTTGTGTGGTAGCCCAGACAGTTCCTGTTTTCTTTCCTTGTTTCAGCTCGATGGCCTGTGTTCTAGGTGCTGCTGTTCTGCTAAGCAAGGACACAGTGAAGACTCTGCAAACACTCTGAAGAAAGATCACGGGGGACAATCCAAGAGACCCAAAATTTATTTTGGGACCCGCACACACAAGCAGATTGCTCAGATCACTAGAGAGCTCCGAAAGACAGCTTACTCAGGGGTCCCAATGACCGTTCTTTCCAGCAGGGATCATACTTGTGTTCATCCTGAAGTAGTGGGCAACTTCAACAGAAATGAAAAGTGCATGGAACTACTGGATGGAAAACAGGTGAGTAAAGTTCTTTGACATAGAGAAAAAAAATAAGGCTGAAAAGATTGAAATTTCTTGATACGTGTTCTTTGTATTTTTCTAGTGATCATTAAATAATATGAAAACCAAATTAATTGCTAGCTTTGATATTTCTTGAAAAATATTTTACCATAAGAAAATCTTAATTCACATTTAAACTGATAGATTTTGGTTTTTAAAACTTATAGATATATTTAATTCTATGACATTAATTTCTGTTGTATTCATATGTCATCTTTTTATTTTAAATCCATCTACCAAAATAGTTGCACATGAGTGATGTCAGCTGAGAGGATAAAAAATGCTTTAAGAATATTATCTAAGTAGATCTAATCAGCATATTTTATATATTTAAAAACTTCAAAATAAGATAGTTTAAACTGAGCAAATTTTGAAATTTTTAACATTGAAATACATGATTATTATAATTTATAGTTCTAATTAGTACAAATTAAAAAAAATTATATGAGATTGTTAAGTTTAAAACTATGATATACATGGTTTTAAATTTTTATAGGGAAATTGGAGTGGTATGAATTTTTAGGATGGGTAGAATGAGAGAAGACATGCTTTTGTAGACACCATTTTAATACTGGACAATATTATTTTGGGAGTCTGTTTTTTGGTGTAGCTAATTTGCTTGAAAATTGAAATTGTAAGTATGAGATTGTACTCCGAAATAGTCAGTGAATCGGTATATAAAGTGAGCAATGATAGTGTACTTTGAATTTTTTTTGTCTTCCTATTTTTTATCAGAGTTGATTCTACACAAAAGACTATGACAGTCCCAAGAGTTTTGTTCCATTGATGGATCAACTCCTACCATAGATTATGAATAAATTATCTTCTATTGTTTTTTCTTTCTTGGTTTTTTTATTTTAACCAGATGAGATTTTACTCAGGTTTTTTTAATGCCTATTCAAGACATATTTTAATAGCTATTTAGCTTTATGTAGCATAAGTAAGGGGTTCAGTGAACAAGTTAGAGTGACTTGTTCAGAGCAAAGAAGAGTAATATAGAATTATTCAATCAAAACCACTATTGCAATTCTATAGTGTTTTTGTTGCCATTTAAGTTCTTTCTAACTAACTAAAGAATTCTGTGGAATCTCTTCACTGTATATGCTTTAAAAAAAAATAAAATAAAATAAAGAATAAAGGGACTGAAGGAAAAGGTTTTTGTGGTACACTGCAAATACCATGTTTAAGTAAACCTTTTTCTGTGAGTGACTAACTGCTCTGCTAAACTCAAATGCTGGCTGCCATCGTCATTATATATTTTTAAAATCTTTTTTCACTTGTTCTTGGTAAAATCATTATGCATTTATAGGAAATATGTAAGTTAAAATATATTGGTAAAAGCAATGAAAAAATTTAAGGCAAATAGTCTTATTTTGTATGTTCTAGAATCCTTCAGGACTGTTTGTGTTTGATCTTTATTCTCAGAAGTTCGGATCATGTAAAATAAGTTAGTAGACTTGGATGTTCAGAACTTTCCATCGGCTTGAAATGAACAACTGTTTTGTTTTTGAATATTAGTGATGTAAGCAAGCAAAGATAGCTGCTGGTGGCCTGCTGCGTCCTGGCTCCATGTCAGAGTGCTTACCTCCTGGGTGCACACGAATGCTCTCTCTTGTTCCCAAGCCCTCAGAGTGATTTGGTATTGTAATGAGGGCCAATTACAAAGTCGCCATAGGTGTCTGTGTTTACTATGGCTGGTTTACCAAAGAGAAATGATAAATAGATAACTGACATTGAGTGAAAAGAGTTTAAAGTGTGATAACACTCCAGCTGACAGACGCCCTCGCGGGTTCTGTTACATGGATCAAGGGATGAGCTTTGGGCTTCACTATCAGCCTCACAGAGCTGTCGTTCTAAGAGCCCTCAAAGGGTAAACTTTCTGATTTGTTGGCTTGATCTGAAGGCACATGTGTTTTTGTTCACAGTTTCTTTTAAAGCGCCCTCCATACTGGAAAGATAGTCTGTTAAAATTATTTTTTTGTTTAAATTAAGAAAAGAAAATTAAAGTTGAGCCTGGAAGGCAAATTCTTTCAAAAGTTGTAGATATAGACTGTCTTGTTTTTTAAAAATTCACATGAAGCAGTTGAGACGGCTCAGAGGCTAGAAGAACATGAGCTGCTTGCTCTTCCAGAGGATCATGGTTCAATTTCCAGCACCACATGGCAGCTCACAACCGTCTGTAACTCCAGTTCCAGGGGATATAATACCCTCTGTGGCCACATACAGACATGCAGGCAACACACACTCGCACATAACGTAAAAATAAATAATCCTTTTTTATTTTTTTTAAAGAAAAGTATCTGGGTATTGTGGTGCACACTGGTAATCCCAGCCCTTGGGAGGCTCATGCAAGATTGCAGATTTAGGGCCAGGAGGCTGCATGAGAAGAGCCTGTTCTCCCCTCACCCGGAAAAGAATAGAAATAAAGTAACACCCAGAGTAACTCGCGTTCATGGCTAGAAGAGTCAGAGCTAGCCCAGTTATGACAAGTCCTGTCACCCAGCTCCTTCTGTCCTCTAACCCTTCACAGAAACCACTGTACAGTTATCGGTGTATTTTGTCAGAACATTTAAAAAACATTATTTGCTAGAGTATATATGCATATTTATTCTTTAAGCAAGGGCACTTTACACAAACTTAGTCATGCTTTTACACATTTGGTGACTATCTTTCTCATTATAACATCATTAGAGAACCTAACAAAGGGCACGCTCACTTAAAAGGGTGTATCATTTGGTTTGTTTTGAAACAAGGTCTCATTATGTAGCCTTGGCTGGCCTGGAGCTTACTCTTTAGACCAGGCTCGCCTCAAACTCAGAGATTCTCCTGCCTCTGCCTCATGAGTGCTGAGATTAAAGGCATGTACCACTGTACCTGGCCTTAAAAAGGGTGTATCTTTTAAAAAATTACTTAACATGTCTGCTGTTAGTTATAGAAATTGAGTTTAGCCACAGGTGTTTTGTTTTGTTTTGTTTGCTATAAAACTGTGCCATGTATCTAATTTTTATTATCAGTGTACATTGATGATAAAAATCAGAATTTTGAGGTTATGGCAAATTGCCCATTATTCAAAGCCTCTAGCACTTTTATTACTCAAGGCTTAAACTTTTGTTAAATGTTTTTGTAATGTGACTATTAGTTTCATATATTTTATCTATTCATTTGTGGGAGTCTGTGGGAGACCAGCTCCGACCTGCTTCCACCTATCAAAAGGTTCTTAGTTGGAGGAAAGAGGAATGAGGAAATATCAGATAGAAAGATAGACCTAGACAATAAGGAGAAAGACAGAGACACAGTATAGCTTCAGGAGGGCCTGGGTCAATACCCAACTGCCCAGAGCTTATTCAAAAAGGCTTTTTATAATATGCTCAGGGGAGAGGCAAAAGATCTCCCCCTTGCAAGATCAAAGCACAATGTACAGCCAAGTGTAGACCCTTCCAAACACCTGGTAAACACGCCCATGGTCAAATCATGTCATTATTCAGCCCTACGGGGCAAAGCAAGCTCAGATTCTCTGACCTTGAGTAATTTGGGCCCCCTCATTCATTCGCCTATTTAACTTGTTATTTTAGTTGTGAATGTTGCTATGGAATTCAGTAGACCTTAAACTTACTACCCCCCGGCCTCAGGCTCCCACGTGCTTGGGTTACAGGCACTGCCACCATGCTGGGCTAATTTTATGCATCTTGGATTTTTTTTTTTTTAATGTATGTGTATTGTCATGAGCCTGCATGCACACTACATGTGTGGAGGCCAGTAGAGGGCATCACATGCTCTGGAACTAGAGTTAAGGTGGTTGTGAGTTGCCATGTGTGTGCTGTGAACCAAACCCAGGTCTTTTGCAAGAGCAGTAAGTGCTTTTAACACTGAGACATCTCTCTTGCCTCTGCTTTTATACAGTTAAAATTGATATATGATATATGACATATTCAGACTTGGAGTGAGTTATCAAATATTTAATTTTTTATTAATACTTATTTTTTTTTTTTACTTGCAGTAACATAATAGCAAAGGCATTAGTAGATAGCAGCCAAGAAACAGGAATTACTGTGGACCCTCTGTTGAATGTTCATACAAGGACTGGAGATGGTGACTCAGTAGATTGGTTACCCTGAGTGCGTGAGGCCCTAGACTCAGTGTCCAGTACCACACACACAAGGCTATTCCTTCAAAGAAATGTTATACCTGGACAGAAATTATAAACGGTACAAATCAAAACAAGATTTGGTTTTTTCACCTTTAAAATACGCAAAGATGGGGCTGCAGAGATGGCTCAGCTGTTGAAGTGCCTGCCTTATGAGCATGAGGACAGTCTAAGTGCCTGGTGTGGAGGAAGCGAGTTCGGTTCTGCACAGTAACTCAGTGTACACGTATGAGCAACAGTGAAATGAGATTTTCCTGATAGCACTTTGTTTTTATCTTAATGGTGGGTCGTTTTATAGAGATGTAACTTTCTATACATGTGTATAGAAGAACTAGGAGATACATGAAGATGTTAATAGTATATGTTTTGAATAATATAATTTGGAATTTGGGGGGTACTCTTGTGTTTTATGAATTTTTTTGTAGTATCCTTTTAATTTTTCCCCCCAAGATAGTCCTTCTTTATTTCCTTCTCCCTCCCTTCTTCCCTTTTTTCTCTCCTCTCCCTTTCTTGTTTCCTTACTTCTAATATTGTCACATGGCTTAAATTTGAAAAGAGACAAGAGAGCAGTAGAAATTTTCTCCCTAGGCCTGTCACCTAATTCTGTTCTAAAAGCAACAAGAGACACCGTTTCTTTGTCCATCCTTCCAGAAATGCGGCATGGCTAACGGCACGGGTACATCAAACAGTTGAAGAATGTTTTTCTCGTTTATTTTGTATTGAGAGTTCTTTCTCATTCTGCGCCAACTACTACAGTTTCTTTAAATGGTTTTGAATATCGCCTGTAATTCCAGCTACTTGGGAAGGTGAAGCAGGAAGATCACTTGAGCCCAAGAGTTCAAAGTCAAATGGGTAACATGGTGACATTCCTATGTCTTGGCAGGAAGATAAGTTTGCCATTATACATATAGAAGTATTTGTTTTCTCTATAAAATGTTAGCTTCTGGTTCTAGTAATCTTTTTAAGGTTCTGAGATAATCTTACTTTATTAATTCTATTCCAAAGTTGGCTCATACTTCAGTTATGTCTGTCTTTTTTCAGGGAAAATCCTGCTATTTTTATCATGGTGTCCATAAAATTAGTAATCAGCAGACATTGCAGTCTCTTCAGGGGATGTCCAAAGCCTGGGACATAGAAGAGCTTGTCAGCCTCGGGAGGAAACTGAAGGCATGTCCCTACTACACAGCTCGAGAGCTGATAGATGATGCTGACATAATCTTTTGTCCCTACAACTACCTCTTGGACGCACAAATAAGGGAAAGTGTGAGTACATATGAAATTAGAGCTCTTCCTACTTAGGAGATAGAAGTGATGAATGTAAAAGCTTTTAGATGTTTTATGTATATTTTCCTCTATATTGAATTGATGGAAACAGAGCATTGAAAACATGTCCTAAAGTGAATTAAGAGGTGACTTCTAAACCCAGTTATTTTAATTTCCAAAGTCATAAACAGTTAAGGCTCTGACTGAAATGGAACTGTAGCATGTCCCTCAGACTTGACTGAGTCGCTCGGCTGGGATGGGCTGTCTGTGATGCTTTGTGGCATCCCCGGTTCTATCTCTGAGACGCCAATAGAACCCTTACAGTTGCCACTGTCAGAGATATCTCTAGACATTGCCAAATGTCCAAATTTCCTCGGTGGGGTAAAATTGTCCCCATTGAAGACCATTATATAACCATTGTTCTCTTCATTCATAGGGACAAGAATTATTTAAAAACTTTTCTCTGGGGGGAAAAAATAACTGTTTTGAAGAGGTTATGTTGAGAGAATATGTACCATAAAAGTTGTGCTTTGTGAATTTTTCAGTAGTGAACTTTAAATTTTATTTATTTGCCTGGTTCTTATAGAGATTATAATTGCTATAGTAAAGACAAAGGGTAAACAATTTGGCATAGCCAGTTACTGCTTTCTTTAGGTGTGACTGTACAGTTCATATTAGCATTTTGTTTCTTTCTAGGTTTGTTGTTGTTGAGACAGGGTTCCATGTAGCCCTGATCAGTCTTGAACATGTTACATAGCTGAGGATGACCTTGAGCTTCTGATCCTCCTGCCTCTACTGCCCAAGTGTCAGGAGTTCAGGTGCAGGCCACCATAGCCAGCGTTTGTGGTGCTAGGAGTCAAACCCAGGGCTTCATGCATGCTAGGCGAGTGCTATGCCAACTGAGTCATAGCTCCAGCTCCAGCTTTTTAAGTTCAAAAGTAATAGGCATTTACACTTTCATATATTTTATTTCATGTGTATGAGTGTTTGCCAGAATGTATGCCTATGTAGCATATGTATAAGGTGACCACAGAAGCCAAAAGAGGGTATTGGATCCCCCATAAACTGAAGTTACAGTTTTGAGCCCTCATGTGGGTGTTGAGAATTGAACCCGGGTCCTCTGGAGGAGCAGCAAGTGCCCTTAACCACTGAGCCGTCTCTCCAGCCTCAATAAGGCATTTTATTTATTACCGTACCACTATTCTCTGCTGCTGTACCATTTATTGGTTAGCTCTTGATTAGGCATCAGATACAACAGTGTTAATGAAGGTAGCCTTCATAATGTTACTTTCCTTCTATCATCCCCCTACTTGAAAATGTATTTCTCCCTTTGCTCTGGGTGGAGTTTATATTTAAGTTCCATCTTCAAGATGCTCAGTAGTCTGACATAGAACTGCCCTTTAAGCCTTTATTAAAACTCCCGAGTGGAACCCTTGAGTACGCCTTAGAACTGCCTAGGGATTCCTGTGTTTCTGTTTAGATTACACCTGCTGAAATGCTCTGCCTTGCTCCTCTCCTCCTCGGAACCCCTGCCTTTTAACCTCAGTCTAGTTCTCCTCCGTATTTCTTTTTCAGTCACTCCCAGACTTGTGCATATTATTACATTCTCAAAATAATTTATTGGAGGTTACTTTAATAAAATTCCCTTGTTTCACTACTCAGGATTTTCAATTGCAAGTTACACAACCCTAACTTGAAAAGAGCTTAAACAGAAATAGTGGGCTTTCTCTTCATTATGATGTCTTCGTTCTTAGGAAGTCCTTTTCTTGTGGGACCAAGGAAAACCACAAGCAGTTAGCTAGTCTGGAGGAAAGAACATGAGCTTGCATGCATCCCTCCAGTTACTCTGTTTGGCCCAGCTTGGATGGCATATCCATTCCTAAATCTGACCCAGTTTCTAACCACAGAACTTTGGAATACTTTAACTGATGAGCCTGGTTCTGAGCTTTATTTTACCCTTACTGTGAGAAACAAGATGTCACTTGATCTGCAGATTAGTAGTCTCACCAGTATCATGCTGGAGAAGAGCATTGTTCAAGATAAAGGGTCATAGGTCAGGTACAAAGGAGACGGACATATACTGTGCTACTTCATGTTGAGTTTTTTAGGAATCATTGAATCTGCATTCTTGTTTCCCTTCTAAAGGTTTTCTGCTCAGGGGTAGGGACGCAGCTCATTTGTTAGAGGGCTTGCATAGGAAGCCTGAAGCCCTGTGCTTAGCCACAGCAACACACACACACACACACACACACACACACACACACAAGTGTTTGGTAATCAGTGTTAAAATTGTACTGAACGCTTCTTTACTGTATAATTGTATACCCCCTGTGTAGCCAGTGGTACCCTCATCCATGCTCAGTTGATAGGCACATGCTCATTGAGAGGTTGGTTGCCAAGTGTTCTCAGAGTGAAAATGGTGAGCTCTATGGCATAGAACTGGTATCTGGTAGATATTAGTGCTTCTGAAGTTGTTTTAAGGCTTGGGTATCAGTTCTTTAATGTAAATTGCACAAGCAATATTGGCCTACATTATGAATTTTCAAATGAAATCTTTTGCCTGTTACTGTTAAATTCATTTTGTCAAATGTTTTAATAGAAAATTATTTTATCTTACAGATGGATATAAAGCTGAAGGAGCAAGTTATCATTTTAGATGAAGCGCATAACATTGAAGAGTGTGCTCGGGAATCAGCAAGCTACAGTGTAACAGAAGTTCAGCTTAGGTTTGCACGGGATGAGCTAGATAGTTTGGTCAACAGTAATGTAAGGAAGAAAAGCCATGAGCCCCTACGAGATGTGTGCTATAACCTCATTAAGTAAGAATTGTTGTCTGTCAGTGTATTTGTTTGTCTTTCTGTGTTACGGATAGGTTTTATGTCAGGGTACTTTCAAGTTAGTAAACTTAGGGACTAAGATGACTCAGTGGTTGAGAGTGTTTGCCCTTCTTGCCCAACACCCACATCTGACAGCTCACAATCACCTGTAATTGCAACTCCAGGGATCTAATACCTTCTTCTGGTTTCCTTGGGCACCTGCACACATGTGGCATATATTCACACAGATACATATACATACACAAGTGTAAGTTAGTAAACTTTGACTAACCAGGCTATTTGGGAAACGGGTTGTTCTTCACCAGTTTCACTTTTTTCTTTTTAAAGTTACTCATACTTTCTGTCTTATTCAAAAATCTAATGAAAGTAATTGACTTCTAAAAGTTAATAATTTCAAGAACTCATTTTCAATCCAGTAGAATAATTAAATAACAGAAATTAAGAACTTTAAATTCGGGCTGGAGAGATGGCTCAGCAGTTAAGAGCACTGGCTGCTCTTCCAGAGGACTGGGGTTCAATTCCCAGCACCCACATGGCAGCTCACAACCATCTGTAACACCATTTTTTTTCACACTGACATACATTCGGGTAAAATACCAATGCATATAAAAATAAGTAAAATCTTAAAAAGAAAGAAAAGGAAGTTTTAGAAATTTAAATTCTGGGTCAGAGTCTTTTGTTTTAGATTTATTTTATTATTTTATGTGTATGAGTGTTTTGGTTGCATGAATTATGTAAGTGTACCACATGAGTGCCCGCTTAGGTCAGAAGAGGTTATTAGATTCCCTGGGATTATTAGAGTTATAGACGGTTGTGAACCACCGTGTGGGTGCTGGGAATCAAACCCAGGCAAGAATAGTCTCCTAGTTAGGGTTTCTGTTGCTGTAGTGACATATTATGACCAAAAAGCAAGTTGGGGAGAAAAAGGTTGATTTGACTTCACTTCCACAATATAGTCATCATTGAAGGAAGCCAGGACAGGAACTCAAACAGCAGAAACATGGAGACAGGAGGTGATGCAGAGGTTATAGGGGAGGGGGCTTCTTACTGGCTTGCTCCTCATGGCTTGCTCAGTCGGCATTCTTATAGAACCCAGAACCACCAGCCCAAGGATGGTACTGCCACAATGGGCGGGGCCCTCCTCCATCAATCACTAAGAAAATGCTCTACAGGATTTCCTGCAGCCTGATCTTATGGAGGCATTTTCTCAATTGGGGTTCCCTCCTCTCACGTGACTCTAGCTTGTGTCAAGTTGACATAAAACCAGCCAGCACAAGCAGCAAGTGGTCTTACCTGCTGTGCCAACTCTCCGGTGCTTCCTGGCTTTCTTTATGACATCATCCTCCATTCCAAGTCTGATTCTAGTTTGGTGGGTTTTAATTAATGGGGAGATTTCAATAATTTACAAAATAGAATTAGTACAGATTTTACTAAAAATTACATTAATTTCTCTCTCCTACTTTATTCTAGAATCATGTTATCTTAAAAGTTTTCTGACTACATCTCATTGCATGCATTGTGACATTTTCTGTTTTCCTTATTGTATACATTTAAAAATTTAAGTGTACAGTCACATTGTTTGAACATACTCTACACATATTTAGTAAAAATTACCTTTCATCCAACCCCTTATTTGTTTAGTCCTTGTTCTTCTAAACAAGGTTATTCAGGGAGGGCATTTGTGTGTGTGTATATGAGTCAATATAGATAAACTCTCTTGGTTCTCATTTTTTCCCCAAATGATGGCATACTATACATAGTATTTATTGCATTTGACTTTCCATTTGACAGTGTATTTTGTTTGACCTTGGTATATGAAAAAGTGACATCCCAGAGTAGTTTTCACTTACATCTCTCTCAATATGAAAGAAATGAAACATCCTTAAGGTTCCTTTTGTATCAATTATTTATTGACATTTTTCTTGATCTTGTTGCTATGATTCTCTCATTGGTGTATAGAAGCTCATCGTATAATGGGGAATCAACCTTCTGCATACAGTAAGAATTGAAGAGTCCTTGATCTCTGCGCTACCCACTTCTGTCTACACACACAAACACACACACAAATATATATATATATATATATACACACATATATATGTATATATATTTTACATACTGATTTCTCTGTGGTATGTGTATTGGAGACGCATATGGAGGTCAGAGGGATAACTTTGAAGAGTTGGTTCTGCCCCTTTGTATTTACACGAGTTCCAGGCCTAGAACTCGATCATCATCAGGTGACAAGCACTTAGTCTTGTTTGCCCTGTTCATAGTATCTTTTCCCAGGTAGAATTTTGTCATTTTTTTATTTCACAACATAATTTGTAGTCCACAGTTGATTCTCTTTTTTCATTTTACATTCATCGTCCATCCTGTTATTGTTCTTGTCAAGGACACCAGTGATCTGCCACCAAATCCAGTGGCTATTTTTCTGTTATCTTAACATCTCAGCAAGGTTGGACATTATTGATGAACAGCCTCTTGAAAAGCATTTTAAAATCTTTATTATTAGTGTTCTTGTGTTTGATGTATATGTGTGCATGTAAGTGTGTGCATGCGGTAGTGTATATGTGGAAATCAGAGGACAACTTTTGGGAGTTAGTTTTCTCATTTTACTGTGGGTTTTGCAGGTCAAACTCAAGTCATTAGGCATTCATGGCAAATGCTTTATTTATTCATTCACTCATTTTTAATTAAAAATGTAATTAGTATGTGTATGTGTGTGTTTGTGTGTGCACTCATGGCAGTATATACAACTAGGCTCAAAGGACAACTTGTAGGAGTCAATTCTCTCCACCATGTGAGTTTCAGGGATTGAACTCAGGTCACCAGCTTTGGTAGCAAACACCTTTACCCATTAACCATCTTTCCATCCCAGAAAAGCATTTTTGCCTTAGCTTCTATGAGGTCTCTGGTTTTCTTCTTACATTCTTCCTTAGTGTTGTTTGATTTCTAAATGTTGGAATGCCTGAGGACCTGGTCCTAGGGCCTGATTTCTTTTCTAGCTCTCTATTCAGCTCAATTATGTAACCTAGAAATATAGCCTAGAGTAGGGCTTCTTAAAGTTTTTCCACTCATGACCCCTTTTTTGTCTAATAAACCATAAAGAAATACTTTAAAACAATTCTTTGGTATTCATGTGATTTTACTAATTTGTAAAGACAAAAGCAAACTTGTATGCTAATAAAGTGGCTGTGTTTGTTTTTACATTAAAAATTAAATCTTGGCTAAATATCGGATAATGTAAGACATAGAACATCTTCAACTTTTAAAAATTATTACATTTTATGTGTGTGTGCTCATGTGTAGATCAGAGGACAGGTTTCAGGAGTCTGTTCTCTCCTTCCACCATGTAGGTTCTGGGACTTGAACTCTTGTCGTTGGGTGTGGCAGCAGCTAAGCCATCCAACTGGCCCATCTTCAACGTTTTTCAGAGTTGACTTATAGTTTGATTTTATAATCATCTGTGCCAAGAACACCGCTTCACATTTATATGTAACACTGGATATCCAGTTCCTCAGTTCCTTCCAGTTCTTCAAATGACAGAGTATATTTAACAGCATTTTGGAAACTGATGGAAATTGTGTTCTAATCCCAAGCCAAAATTCATTGAACAGTTTGTCATGAAACTCAAGGTGGTAACTCAAACGGGACTTTTAAAATCAAACATTTAACACAATATGATCCAAATACTTAAATGCTAAGAAATAAAGGTAGAAAAATACTAACAACGTTTATTTTTCTTAATTGGACTATTGTGTTTCTGAAATCTTTAAAAACGCCACAGTCTTTAAGGTGTAGTGCTCTTGACTCTGAGAAGTTTCACGGTGGTGTTAATGGCTTTGCATGAAGGCATGAGCAGTGCAAAGGTGCACATTGTGTGTTCTTACCCAGCACTGCCGTAAAGTCACAGTGCAGTGTGGGCAAGTGCTGCCACAAACACCTGGATTTTAATTAGTTAATTAATCCTTACTTTTATGTTTGGTGTGTGTGTGGTTTATGTATGTACGTGCACTTACAAGTGTGTGTGTTTTTGGTAAATGATTGATGACTGTCTTCCTTGGTTACTTTCCACCTTACTTTTTGAGATGATGTCACTGAATTTAGAGCTTATCCATTTGGCTAGCCACTGGGATTTGTGTATCTCTGCCACCCCAGCTCCAGGGTTACAGATGTGTCCTTCCATAATTGCTTAAGGACATCATACTTGTGCACACCAACACTGAGCCATCTTTTTCCCCTTCTCATGCCTTGAATTCTTTGTGTTTGATTGTGAGTTAGTTTCTGGCCACTGTATGGTCCTTTGCTTGTTACCAAAGTTTTCACAACTTCTATATTCAGTTTCTTGACCTCCATATGGGGTTGTAACCCACTTTGAGAGCTGTGGGTTTGCCTATTATCTACAGGACTGCTGAGGCCTCAATCTATGTCTCTAATTCTGACCTCTCTCTGGAGTATGATTTGCATAGTCAGTTATTTTTATATATAAGAGTGTGTGTGTATATATATATATATATAGATAGATATAGATATAGATAGATAGATAGATATCTGTTAAGATATCCAATATATTTCAACTTTAAATCCAGAATAAAGTTCCTCCGTTTCCTCTATCTACTGTCTCCTCACCCTCCATATTCAGTCTTTCACGTCCAAACAGAGCCTGTCAGTTCCTCAAATCAAACATCTAAATATTGTCTTCGATCATGCTTCACTTCATCAACCAGCTAGTCATTAAGTCTTACAGGTGCCAGTTGTACAGCGTGTCCCAAATCCATGTGTTTTTTTTTTCACTCTGTGTCTATGGTGATCTAGAATATTGTGATAGCTTCCTAGTATGACCCTTTTCTTTCTCCTATAATCCATTCTGCCTTGGGAGTTGGAATCATCCTTTAAACTCTTAAAATACTCACTTTCTTATTTAAAACTCTGTTTTCAAACTTTGGATAGAGCCCACATTTCTTATCCTTGCTCTAGACAATATCACTCCAGTTTATCTCTATAATGTTGTTTATACCATTATCTATTATTGCCCGTTGTGATGACCATACTGGTTTTCTTTCAGGCCCTCAAAGGAGCAAAGCTTGTTAACTTTGCACCAGCTTTTCCTTCTGTTTTGAAATATATATGTGTATTATATATATATATATATATATATATATATATTATTATTATTATTATCCCACCTGGGACTGGCCACTTTTCTGCATTCAGTTGTTAGAAAATCATTTCTAGGAGAGTATCACAGACACTCAGATTAAAGTAGCTACCAACTTGTGATAAACTTTATTTTTGTGTTTATCACTACTCCCTCCTGTGGTGCTGTGGGAATTGAACCCATGGCCTGATGGATGCTAAGCAAGCACTTTACCACTGAGTTCTATCTTTGATATTTCCTTTCTTACGTATTTGTTGATGTGTTTATTTCTGGCTCCCTTTAGTAGACTTTAATTTTCACAAAAATAAGGATTTTGCTTATTTTGTGTACTATCATAACAACTTCTACTTGGATCTTTGGTATAAAATTGGCATTCAAGCAGTTACTAAGTGAGTGTACATATCAATAAATATATTTATATATTTTCAGGTAAGTCTTTTGTTGTTAATATGGAGCATAAATATTTGTTTTGCATTTATTTTTATGTGATTTGATATGAACACCTTATACCTGGTTGTTAGATGTAAGTAAAGCACTGTGAATCCACAAAAAGTCTCACACTTGTTTCTTTCTTTATAAAATTACTTATACTTATGTAAATGCTTATTTTACAGTATGAAATGTTCATTTTAGAGGTGTGTAAATCCATGCGTATGTCCTAACAACTTCAAGGAATGTATACAGACCCATATATGACAGTAATAATTTTCCAGTTCTGTTGAGGTAATACATCTAGGGGTGACACTGGTTGACAGAAATTTTTTTGTTTTTGTTCTAGTTGGCTAGAAACAAATTCTGAACATCTTGTAGAAAGGGACTATGAATCATCTTGTAAAATTTGGAGTGGAAATGAAATGCTCTTAAATTTGTACAGAATGGGCATCACCAATGCTACTTTTCCCGTTTTGCAGGTAAGATCTTTTACCTCCCCATGACATTCATTTAGTCAACTATATGTCATTTAGGAGTGATTTAAAAAAAAAAAAAAAAAACACATCCAGGAAAAAGTTCAGAATTTTAAAAACTAACAGCTTAAAAGTTGCTTTAAAAATTTTTTATCTAAATCTGATAATTGTTGGGTGATGACACAAAGTATTATTTAGCTTGAAAAAAAATAAAACTTTAAAGGAGTTATTCTTTATCCAGAGCTAAAAGAAACCAATATTTTTAGGTTGTGAATGTTTTGTGTCAGTTATAATACTTAAAATTCCAAAAAATGGAAAGTTCATATTTTGTGTACTGAAATAGAGATTGGAAATTCATGGAGAGATGGTTAGACCTTTAGGAACCTCATTGTGAGTATTGCTTTTGCACATTCTTCTGGATAGAGGATCCATACTTTTATTATAATCTCAAGAGTCTGTCCCCCCATTAGCAGGAGGGATAAGAGTATTTTGTCCTTTTTGTTATTGTTTCTATTTAATTATCTAAACTAAGGGACTTTATTCTTTTAAGAGCAGTTTCAAATATAAAGAAAATTTGAATGGAAAGCTCAGAATTCTCATTATAGTCTCATCGTAGTCCCCCCCATACACACACACACACACACACACACACACACACACACACACACACAAGTCCTGCCTATTGAGAGTAGAGTCATGGGATATACTTGTTACAGTTGATGAATCAGCATTAATGTGTTATTGTCACCCAAAGTCCACAGGTTTCCTGACACATCACTGTCCATGTTGTATAGTTCAACTGGGTTTTGCCTAGTCATCCACCATGATGGCATCATACAGAATATATTCACTATCCTAAAACATTCTCTATATTGTACCTTTTCATTCCTCTCCTGTACCATTTGACACGAATCTGAAACTTTTTGGCACGCACTGATTTCTGATTCCATAGTCCTGTCTTTTCTAAAATGCCATGTAATTGGAATCATACTGTATGCAGAATTTCCTGTAGCAATATGTGGTTAAGTTCCTTCCATGTAGAGTGTATGTCATGCACAGACATCTTCTATAACTTTTGATGGCTTGTTACCTCATTTCTTTTTGTCACTAGAAATTATTTCATTGCCTGTATAGATCACAGTTTGTTTATCTGCTCACTGATGAGGAACATATTGGTGGTTCCCAGTTTGGGGCAATTATGAATCAAATTGTTAAAAATTTATGTCCTTGTGTTTTTGTGTGGATATGGCTTTTACTCTGAGGAAATGCTCAGATACATAATGTTTGAGTTCTCTGGTAAGAGTACTTTTAGCTTCAAAAAAAACTGTTTACTAAACTGTCGGCATCCATTTGCTTTTCCCTGGATTCCTGTTGCTTCACATCTTCATCAGCAGTTGAAGTTGAGGGCATTTGGAACTTGAGCCATTTTAGTGCTTGTCTACATAGTGATATCTGACTTCTTTCTGTTTTTCTTTGGTTTTCAGTGTAACTCAGTCTGGTCTTGACCTTCTGATCCTCCTGCCTATACTTCCCAAGTGCTAGGATTCCAGGACAAGCCAGTAAGCTTTGAATTTATAGTTCCCTGAAGGCAGGATATTGAGTCTCTTTTTATCTGTTCACTTGGCATCTGTCTAAGTTCTTTGGTCTTAGTTAGGGTTTCTGTTGCTGTGATAAAACACCATGACCAAAAGCCACTTGAGTAGAAAGGGTTTATTTGGCTTACATATCCCAATTATGCAGTTCATTGAGGGAAGCCGAGGCAGGAACCTGGAGGCAGAACTGAAGCAGAGGCTATGGAGAAATTCAGCTTATTGACTTTCTCCTCATGGCTTACTCAGTCGGCTTTCTTACACCTCCTGGCACCACCTGCCCAGATGTGGTCCACCTGGTAGTGAGCTGGGCCCACTAGCATCAGTCACCAATCAAGAAAATGCACCACAGACTTGCCTACGAACAACCTGATGGAGGCATTTTCTCAGTTACGATCCCTCTTCCCAGATGTGTCTAGGTTGTGTCAAGTTGACAAAAAACAACCAGTGTGTTTGCTGAGGTGTTTTTATACCTCATGCTCACTCTTCAGTTTTTGTTGCATTTTGGAGTTTTCCATGTATTTTGAATACAAATGCTCGATTAGGTAAGTGTTTACAATTATATCTTCCCAGTCTCTGCCTTGCTTTTTCATCTCATTGACAGTGTCTTACACAGAGCAGAAGATTTTAATTTCAGTGAAGCTTATCTTACCTCTTATTTTCCTCTCGAGTTACATGTTAGGTTTTATATTTAAGAACTCTACAGTCGGCCGGGCGGTGGTGGCGCACGCCTTTAATCCCAGCACTCGGGAGGCAGAGCCAGGTGGATCGCTGTGAGTTCGAGGCCAGCCTGGGCTACCAAGTGAGTTCCAGGAAAGGCGCAAAGCTACACAGAGAAACCCTGTCTCGAAAAAACAAAAAACAAAAAACAAAAAAAAAAAAAAAAAAAAAAGAACTCTACAGTCATCTAGATTTGCTCCTGTTTTTTGGAAGTTTTATGTCTTTCAGTTTTTCTTTAGGTGACCCATTTTGAGTTATTTTTATGGAACTTGTAAGGTCTAGTTAGCGTGATATGCAGTTAATCCATCACTATGTGTGGCAAGGGTTTCCCTTCTCTGTTGGATTATCTCTGTTTCTATGTTGGAGATAGTTGGCTGTATTTGTGTGGGTTATTTCCAGGATTTCTGTTGTGCCCCACTCATCTGTCTGCTTCTTCCTTTGCAAATACTACAGTGTCTAGACTGTTGTGACTTTGTGTTAAGTCTTGAGTTGGATAGTACCAGCTCTCTGCCCTTCTCCAATGTTCTGTGGGCTGTTCTAGATTTCTTGCCTGTCCATATAAACTTTAGAATTAGTTTATCAATATCCCAAAGCTAACTTACTGGGGGTTTGTTTGTGATTACATTGAGTCTATAAGTCAATTTGAGCAGAAACTGATATCTTAACAATATTCTATTTTCTTGGTGTAGGGTGAGGTCTATGTTTAATGAGCTAAACCCAGGAGAGGGATGTCAGAAAGGGTTCTTTTTGTTGTTTAAGATTTATTTATTTTGTATGTGAGTGTTTGCTTGTGTGTATATATGTGCATCATGTGTGTGCCTGGTGCCTGTGGGGGTGAGAAGAGGGCATTGTATCCCCTGGGACTGGAGTTACAGACAGTTGTGAGCTGCTGTGTGGGAGCTGGGAATTGAACATGGGTCCTCCAGAAGAGCAGCCAGTGCTCTTAATCATTGAGCCATCCTTCCAGCCTTGGTTCATTCGTTTTCTTTCTTTCTTTCTTTCTTTCTTTCTTTCTTTCTTTCTTTCTTTCCTTTCTTTCTTTCTTTTTGTTTTTAAATAAGACTAAATAATATTGTATAATTTGTTTTTCTTTTTTTGGAGATAAGGTCTTGCTTATGTAATATAATCTGGCCTTGAACTTGCTATATACCCAAGATGGCCCTGAACTCTTTAGCTTCCTGCCTTTACCTTCCAGGTGCTGGGAGTGCAAGCATGTGCTACCACATCCAGATTGCATGTGTTTTATTTTATATTTTCTTCATTTCATTTTTCACTAACTGTATTCTTACTTTTCCTCCTGGGAAGATTTTTAGGCTGAGGGATTCTTTCTTGGGGCAAGAGTGAAATGGTTGATAGTAGTAACCTATACTTACTCTTCAATGCATCTGCTCCTGGATTTTTATTTCCTTAATTTACTGTTCATTAAATTATTTAAATTTTACTTATCAGGCCTGAGGTAGATCTCAGTAGAGTCCCTGTGATACAAGAGTCCATAAATATATATAAAGGGGTGCGATTGGGAAACAGACTCACTAATACAAAACAAGGTAGATGTGCTACAGATCCACTGCTGACCCAGCTTCCATTTTCCTAAGGTGGATGGGGACCAACTGCAAGCTGCTTTCTGCCACTTGACCCCGTCTCCTCATCCCAAGAGAGAGCATGACCCCCCCGCCCCTTAAGCGATCATGTTCACAGACAAGACCCTGCTCACAGAGTCAGATACCTCAAAAGCAATTGGTTGAATGGAAGAATTCCCATAACACTTCCCCTTTTTTGTCTAAATAAGAAGGTTCTAAACCTAATACAAAGTTATGTATAATAAGAACTATCATCAAGTATTGTCTAGAAGAAAGAAAAGATAATAACATAAACAAATATGGAACTACAACCAATAAGAATAACATCAAGCAAGAAACACATACTAAATGTCCAGGCCAAAGGTAATTGGCAAATTACAGAGATTACTCCATTAGCTGTCCTATCCTAAAGAATCTAAATCTTGTACCTGATATGCTCTTAGCTAAGATATAAGAGGATTGTAACTGTAACTATCTGGTCTTCAACCCCATCAAAGACCTGAGAAGGAAAATAATATTACCTAAGTAAGCAGGAAATGCAAGCAAGCAAGTTCTGAAACATACAAGGTATGACAGAAACAGCTGACTGCCTATACAGTCACCCAGTGTTTCTCCGCAACATTGGGGCATCCATTTTTGGCTACAGGCCTAGAATATCTGAGAGACCATTTTCAGAAGCAGGAAAATTTGAAAGACTGTCCTACTCTGTCTTGGCAAAGCTCAGCAGTCGCTTTTCTTGTGTCCTGCTTGTCCAGTGTGCTTATTGTCAGCAGTCAAGGCAAGGGCAGTTCTTTGCCCAACAGGCCATTTTCGCCAAGAAGAAGACAAATTTCGTATGGAGTATTTTTGATGCCCAACATCCTCTCAGGAGTAGATCGGTGCTACAAGGAGCAGTCGTGTCTCATGTCAACAGAATTAAATGCCATATTCTCTAGGTCTATGAAGTCTTTGAAGATTACCTATCCATCTGACATATATCTCTGTATATCTAGAAAGGCAAACTAATGTGACTATAAATGTGACAAGCCTGAGTGACTATTAACCTGTAACACATTAACCTATATAACTTAAAGACTAAAGCTTTATATAATAAAATTAAACAATCTGTAAACAGATGAACAATATAAGTACAATGACCTCGAATTTGTGAGAGTATACAAAAATATGTTAATTAGAAGTGGAAATGTATAGTGCAGTATGACAATATCCTTAATTTGTGTCAATATACAAAATATTGTATACATACAGTATGACAAATATAATTTTACATTTGTATCAATATACAAAAATACTTTAAACAGAAGTAGGAACATATGTACAATATGACAAGTATAGTTTTGAATTTGTATCAATATACAAGTTTAAGATAACAGGAATAGAATAATAATTTTACATTTGTATCAATATACAAGAATCCATACTGATGCAATTTATCTAAAACTGATAGTTGCTAAATTAGTTTCTAAAAGTAAATACAACAATCTACCTTATTATCCTATCCTGTCTATTCCCCTTTTTCTTTTCCAAAAGAGATTCCTGAGCCTAAACTTTGTTGTTTGATCCCCATACCTGCAGGAAATAACCCTAAGGATATACAAAGAAATGATATTTGGCAAGTGGATGTTTCATTTTGCAGAATTTGGAAAATTAAAATATGTACACCATACTATAGATACGTTTTTCAGGAGTTCAATGGGCAACTGCTTTGAGTTCTGAAAAGGCTGATTCTCTGTAGAGCTCTTGCTGTCCTGGAACTTGATTTGTAGACCAGGCTAACTTCAAACTCTCAGAAATCTATGCCTCTGCCTCCCTAGTGCTGGGATTAAAGGCATGTAGCACCACACCTGTCCCTTCTTAGTATTGTTGAATACCTGCATTCATCCACCAAAACAACAGCAACAAAAATGGATATTAATAAACTTTGTCATATGGTAGTCTCATTACCAGAGTTGTTTCCTATATATAATTCAGGCATTTCGGGAAACATAAACTCTATTAAAAGTCAATTGGAATTTTTTTGAATTTAGTTCATTGCTTCTGAAAGATGCTAAATATCACACCAGTTGCCTGAAAAAGTTGTCCTCCTAAATGTCTTTATTGAAGCATCCTGTTAATAAGGTGTCTTTGACTCAGAGGAGTATTTTCTAACATGGAAATCCAAACTCCATTGCTAGGCTTGGGTTGTAGGTCAGTTATAGAATGAATGCCTAGTATGCATGAGTTTCATTCTAACCACCATGATAGGTGAAGAGGCAAAAATAGAAATGCAAAATGATTTGTGTTTTTACATTCATGTATACCTGCTTCATATTGACTTGAGTTTATACTTTGCAAAGAATTTTCCTTCTGTCGTCCTCTCCACCCCCTTCATGAATAATATGGTAATGTTTTACAGAGACATTTTTCAGCTGTTCTTCAAAAAGAAGAAAAAGTCACATCAGTCCATGGTAAAGAGGAAGCAATACAAATACCTATTATTAGTGCTCCAACTCAAATAATGCTCAAAGGACTCTTTATGGTGCTTGACTATCTCTTTAGAGAAAATAGCAGGTAAGTGAAGATACCTGTTTTGTTGGCTTGTTTTGTTTTCATTTTAGCCTACAGGTCAGCAAGATAGCTCAGCCGGTAAAGGTGCAGTTTGTACAAGCCTGGCAACCAGAGGTCCATCCCCAGAGCCACATAAGGGTGGAAGGAACAAACCGACTCTACAAGGCTGTCTTCTGACCTCCAAATGTGTATTGTAGTATGCACGCACACTCGTGTACATGTGCACGCACACAGTAATAAATGAAAATTTAAAAGATCAGCCTAATGAATGCCATTTTTAACCTAGGAGAATCTAAATGTTACAGCTGTATAGATTGTTCTTATTGACACAGACTCAGATCAGTTGAAATGAGTCTTTCTCATTCATGAAAATAAATACTGAAATCAGTAAATAAGTACACTTAATTAACTCTTCTTTGACTTTTTGTCCTCCAGTGCTAAGTTTAAGAATCTTCATTTTTGTTTAAGTGTAATTTGGGTCTGTATCTATCAGTATTTGAAAGTTCTTTTCTTGAATGTTTTGTTTGTTTTTATTTGAGGCAGCATGTATCTCAGGCTGGCCTCAAACTCACTATTCAGAAGAGGATGACCTTGAACTTTTGTTTTGTTTTTCAAGACAGCGTTTCTTTGTGTACATCTGTCCTTGAACTTGCTTTGTAGACCAGGTTGGCCTCAAACTCACAGAGATCCTCCTGCCTCTGCCTCCCTAGTGCTGGGGTTAAAGGTGTGCACCATCACCGCCTGGTTCAGCCTTGAACTCTTGGTCCTCCTGCCTTCACCTCCCGAGTGCTGGGGTTACAGGCCTGTCACTGTTTATCCCCAGTTTATCTCTTGAAAGTTACAGTTCTACCAGCTTGCGGGATTTTTAGTGTTTTAAAATTATCATGTAAATATATACCATTTGACCGGAGCCATAGGTGCTGTGGATATCGTTCTGTATAAATAAAACACTGATTGGCTAGTGGCCAGGCAGGAAGTATAGGCAGGACAAGGAGGAGAATAAAGCTGGGAAGTGGAAGGCTGAGTCAGGGAGACACTGCCAGTCGCCGCCATGACAAGCAGCATGTGAAGATGCCGGTAAGCCACGAGCCATGTGGCAAGGTATAGATTAATGGAAATGGATTAATTTAAGCTGTAAGAACAGTTAGCAAGAAGCCTGCCACGGCCATACAGTTTGTAAGCAATATAAGTCTCTGCGTTTACTTGGTCAGGTCTGAGTGTCTGTGGGACTGGCAGGTGACAGAGATTTATCCTGACTGTGGGCCAGGCAGGAAAACTCTAGCTACACATAGGCACCATTCATTTCCAGGAAGTTTTGCCATTCCAAACAAGGATTTTACATGTATAAAGCAGTTGCTCTCCTTGTTACTGTTCCTAGTAATTTCTCCTTTGAGTTTGTTCTTTCTAGTTACTTCAGACACAAGCAGGCATGCAATGTTTGTCTCTTTGAGTCTGACTTCATTTAGTATCATTTTTTTTTTCAGAGCTCATCTGTGTAGAGCATATGCCAAACTTCATTCCTTTTTATGGCTGAATAGTATTTTACTGCACACATATGCCACATTTTTTAGTTCATTTTTTTTTGTTAGGCATTTGGGTGTTTCTGCCCTTTGTACTATTTATTATGCTGCTGTGAATACACATGTACAGATACCCGTTTGAGTCTGCTTTCATTGCATTCCTGTGGATGGATGTATTTTACCGGGTAGTGGAACTAACGATCCTGTGACAGTCCTGTTTAACTTTGGGAGGAATGTCTTAGTGTTTTTGCACAGCAGCTGTAGCATTTGACATTCCATTTAGCATTGTCTAAGGTTCTGACTTTTCAATATCCTTGCTCATGCATTCTTTTTGCTCTGGTCATCTTTAAAAAAGTAATAGTCATCCTAGTGGATATCAAGTGATTCTTCCTCGTAGTTTTGATGTGTATTTCCTAGCGACTAATGATCCTGTGACTGAGTACCTGTTGGCCAATTCTGTATCTTCTTGTAGAAATAATGTACTGAAAGTCTAGTGTCCATTTTTAGTTGAGTTGTTTCTTTTAATTGTTGATTTGTAGTTATTCATGCAATTGGGATATTAATCCTCTGTCAGATATAATAATGTTGTTGTGAGTTGTCTTTTTACATTTTGATTGTGTCTTTTTTTTAATGTAAGTAAATTTTCATTTTGCTCTGGTTAGGTTTTGTAGGTTTTTGGGTCTCACTGGGTAGCCAAGGCTTTCCTAACACCTGCCTTAGCTTGTCCTGCCTTTGCTCCTGAGTGCTGGAATTATATATGTGAACCACCCAGTTGAGTAGAATTTTGGATTTTTCTAGTTATGAAGTCTGATTTACTTATCTCTCTTTTTAGATGTACCTCAGAGATTTATAGTTATGAAATTTGAGCATTTTTATAAAATTCTCTTCACAATTACTGAGTCCTGACTTGGATTTCGAGACCTTATCTCTCCAGAGGTGAAATCAGGGGTGAAATGCCATGAGAGCATAGTTGAGAATAACATTTTATCCTGAGTAAGCCTAGGCACTTTATAGATTCTTAGTGATACAGATTGGGATGGGATCATATGTATTCTGGTTCAGTAACCTCATGAAAAGAAACTCAAGATCATGACCCAGATTTTAACTTGAAAATTTTATAAGTCAAGTCAGTAAGGTAGCTTAGCAGGAAAAGGTGCTTGCCGTCAAGACTGATGACCCAAGTTTGATCTCTGAAACCCATAGTAGAACTGACTGGCTCTTGCAAGGTGTCCTCTGACGTCTACATGAGTGTCCTTGGCATGCACACACCCTAGAACAGGCATGTTCCCCCCTACACACAAATCAAACGGAAAGGTTTTAAGTTTTATCATTTTACTTGCTAACACTTTTTAAACTTTCCTTAAAATTGCCTATTTTCTCACACAATAAGAAAGCATAACTTGTCCTTGACATTCTTCAACCCTAATTCCCGTTTTCTACTTAGTAACAGTAACAATTAAGTAGTAGAGGGTTCAAAGACCTGGAGTTGGAAGTTAGAAGGCATGAAGTTGAGTTCTGGTTCTGCCATGGTTTATGTCATGTTTAAAATGAAATTGGAAAGTGGCTAATGAGGTTAGCCACTTAGATAATTTTATTATTTCTTGTAAGAATTTGTTAAATTCTGTGATTTCATGACTTAATTTACGTTAGAATTACTGAGTTTATCTAGTGAGCATGGCTGCGTTTCCTTTGTGTGGGGAGGCATGGCAGGCTGTTGAGTTTTACGACTATCAGGTTTGATAGTATGTAGCTTGATTGTTTTATGTTTTGTCATTCAATTGGCATTGTCTTTGCTTTTAGATTTGCAGATGATTATAAAATTGCTATTCAACAAACTTATTCCTGGACAAATCAGATTGCTATTTTTGATAAAAATGGGGTCTTGGCTCTACCAAAAAATAAGAAACATTCACGACAGAAGATTGGAGTTAATATGCTAAACTTTTGGTGCTTAAATCCAGCTGTGGTAAGCTCACTCTATCCTAAGTGCAAACTTGTCTTGACCAGAATGAACAATTAAATGACTGTGTTTGGCTTTTTTTTTTTTTTTTTTTTTTTTGGTGTTTCGAGACAGGGTTTCTTTGTGTAGCTTTGCGCCTTTCCTGGAACTCACTCTGTAGTACAGGCTGGCCTGGAACTCACAGAGATCCACCTGCCTCTGCCTCCCGAGTGCTGGGATTAAAGGCGTGCGCCACCACCGCCCGGCGTGTTTGGCTTTTTAAGAAGATGATCTCGCCAGGCGGTGGTGGCGCACGCCTTTAATCCCAGCACTCGGGAGGCAGAGGCAGGTGGATCTCTGTGAGTTCGAGACCAGCCTGGGCTACCAAGTGAGTCCCAGGAAAGGCGCAAAGCTACACAGAGAAACCCTGTCTCGAAAAACCAAAAAAAAAAAAAAAAAAAAAAAAAAAAGATGATCTCGTTTTCTCTGTGTTTCCTTGTAGGCCTTTTCAGATATTAACAACAAAGTACGAACCATTGTTCTAACATCAGGAACACTGTCACCGCTGAAATCCTTTTCATCCGAGCTCGGTGTTACATTTAACATCCAACTAGAGGCTAACCATATCGTCAGTAACTCACAGGTGAGCTGCTCTGCTTGATTTTGATGAAGCTCTCCGTCTGTTTACCAGAGTGTAATGCCGTATAAAGGACACTGTAAATTCTAAGAAGCAAATCTGATAGGAAATTCACACTTTAATTTTAGAATAAAGACAATCTTGTCAGCTGCTTGACAACTGAGCAGAGTTGGTAGAAGGAAACACTGATGTTGCCCCGGCGGCCCTGCCGCTTTGGGCTCAATGACCACAAAATTTCCTCATTTGAGTAAGTTCTAGTTTCTCTCTGAAATCTAAAAACAAGAAAATGTTCATTTTTCTACTATAGTTCCTATTTGTAATTATTTATTTCTTTTTTCCATTAGTCTTTAGTATATTCTTATTTGATTTATTCATTTTTCAAAGTTTGTGTTTTAGTTTACCTTCATGAGTTTATGTGTGCTGAGTTCATGCAGATGCCTGCATGGGCCATAAGAGGCATCCCTAGAACTGGAGGTGTAAGCGTTTGTGAGCCAGGTGATGTGGGTTATGAGAACCAAGGTCTTTTGTAAGAACAGTACACGTTCTTAATCAGTGGACCATCTCTCCATCCCCTTTTTGTCTGGTTTTGTTTAGACAGTGTCTTTTGTGTCCAGGTTAACATCAAACTTACTATGTAGTCAAGGATAACTTTGAACTCTTGATCTCCTGACATCACCTCTCAATGCTGTACTTGTAGGTATGAGCCAGCACTTCTGGCTCTGTTTCTTTTTGTGAAGTAATTTAAAGTAGTTAGCTCTGTACCTAACTATGTATGTATGTATGTATGTACCATCGCCTATGTACCTAACACAGTTCTAGTTCTTTGTAAAACTGTATGTGCAGGTTTGCTTGTGGGGACATTTTTAGTTCCCTGAAAACAACTACTGAGATTAGTGGTTGGGACCCATAATTCTACGTGTCTATGTAACTAAGAACTTGCTTTCCAAAATGCCAGAATGTGCCTGTTGAGAAGCATTGCTATCAGCAGTAGAGAGGTGAGGGTACAGGTTCCACATTTCATGCTGCCCTGTTTAGAAGCAGAAGTGAATGTAGGTTAGCAAATTCAGTATCATTTTTTTTCATAAGATTGCTAGTCTATACTCTAATTAATTATGTTTTCACCCTAATGTACAAAGTCCATTTAACCTGGACTATTATTGAATCATAATAATATTGCAACTATTATAGCTGAATAGTGTTTAAATATTGTCTGTCAGCTTAAAAATTACTCTTAAATCTCAATTATGATTTAAAATATCCATGTGGAATAAAAATGACCATTTTACCATTTTCAAGTGCACAGCTTAACATTGCATATATCCACTTGTGGGCACAGCCAGTCTCAAGAACGTTTTCACTTCTCCTTCCCCACCAGTCCCTAACGTTCTCCTTTCTGTTTCTGTGAAGTCTACTGCTCTGTCCGGATAATTCTTGTAAGTGGAATCCTCAGGTACTTGTCTTTCTGTGATTGGCGTTTTTTTTTTTTTTTATTTGTACTTAGCATAACAGCTTGAAGATTTGTCAGTTCTATAGCTGATGGCGTCAGCCTTCATCTGTGGCAGCATGTATCAGATTTTCTTCCTGTGCTGCAGGAAACATCATTGTAGAGCTATCTGTCTACTGATTTTCTTCACTTCTTCTTTAGAAAAAATATAAACTCCAAGGCTGGAGAGATAGCTCAGTACTTCCTGCTCTTGCAGAGGACCCAGGTTTGGTTCCCAGCACCCACACTGGGTGGGTCGCAGGTACCTGTAACTCCAGCTCCTCCATGGCACCTGCACACAAACACACATGAAGTGAAAAATAGTAAAAGTAAATTTTCTTTAAAATTATAAATTTAAGAAAGGTTGAAATGATAGTATTAATTTGTATCTTTTTTCTATATTCGTCAGTTGTTAACATTTAGTAATGTTTGCTTCTCCTTGCCTTCTTCCTTCGTATGTGTGTACAGATGTCAGTGGAGAGAGGAAAAGTATATTCTGTCTACAGAGAGGGTCGGAGTGGGGATGCATTCTCTGTCAAGGGTGGAGAGACTGTTTCCTCAGGCAAAATAAACCCATCCGAATGTGAGGGTTTGGTGTCCTCAGCATTGGTAGGGCCCTCCCACATATCACTAGCACAAGTTATAGGAGCTTTTGTCTTTCCAACCAGCACCCTCAGTGTAACTGCCAACGCCCTTCCAGGCTGGTCAACATTTGTTTTGTTACGTCTGCCAATCCTCTAATGAGGACTTGGATTGGAGTTTGACAACTTGAGCTCTATGGCTGAGGGAGAGAAGATTCTCCTCCAGACACACTTAGAAACCTTTCAATTGTTTGTGTGCGTCTGGAACCAGTTAATTTTATTTCATCACCAAGCTCCCTTTTCTTCTTTGTCACTTTATCCAGAGATGCTGGAAGCAATCAGCCAGCATTATTGTTTTCTTTATTTTTCTACAAATCGTCTTTAACTTTAAAAAGAAAAGTTTTGTGTATAGAGTCATTAACTTCCTTGTTCCTCACAGGAGGTAAGTTGGGAGTATCCAACATGTTTATCTCAGTAAGGTCTTTAAATAGTTCATACCATGGACTTTCAGTGCTCTCCATGCAATCAGCAGAGTCCGCAGTAACTGTAGGTTTCATTGAGTTGGTTAGCCAGCTTCAGATACCACCAAGCCTACTAGAGAATTTCATCCTTAAAATTCTGTTTCTCTAAAACTACTCCTGGTACTACAATCTGTATTCATCGTGGTTTTCTAAAGGAACAAAATTGCTAGGAATGAATAAATATTTTAAAAGAGGAGTTACAGATTGACTTACAGATATGGTCTAGGTAGTCTGACAATAGCCATCTCACTGAGAGGTTGAGAATCTGGTAGTTGCTTAATCCACAAGGCTGGATGTCTTGGTAGTCCCAGTCTGGAGCTGAAGGCCTGGTGGTTCCTAAAGAGCTGCTGGTTTAGGCCTTCATTAGAAGCCTAGAGAAGCTGACTGTAATATCGGCAAAGGAATGCCACAGCAACAGGATAGATGAACTTCTCAGCAAGAGCAAAGGCAGCAGACAGAACCATGTCTTTTTATCTGGGCTGCCACCAGACATTGCCATTCACATTTAGGATGGGTCTTCCTGCTTCAAATCATCTGAGCAAGCAATTCCTTCATAGAAGCTTGTGTTTTAGTTCATTCCAGATCCAGCCAGTTGGATAACCAAGATTAACCATCACATAAACTGATTTTTTGTTTTGTTTTGTTTTTTAATTTTATGTGTGCGAGTGTTTTGGCTGGATGTGTAAGTATACCATGTGCCTGCAGAGGATAAAAGAGGGTGTCGGATCCCCTGGAACTGGAGTTGCTGATGGCTATATCTTAGTAGTTACTGTGAGGATTACAATATTATCCAAGAGTTACAATAATTTGATTTTCCATAGGTACCAACCTATGTATTCACTTAATTAATGGTGTTAAAGAAGATTTCCAGTTTCAAAATAAATTTCTGCTATTGTTTGGTCATCTTTTTCTATAAATCACTCCCAACTAAATCTTAATTTTCCTGCTTTATTTAGGTGTAACTCTAATACTAAAATATTCATTTCTAGGTTTGGGTTGGTACTGTTGGCTCGGGCCCTCAGGGTCGGAATCTCTGTGCTACCTTCCAGCATACGGAAACATTCGAGTTCCAGGATGAAGTGGGAATGCTTTTGTTGTCTGTGTGCCAGACTGTGAGCCAAGGGATTTTGTGCTTTTTGCCATCTTACAAGGTAAGGAGTTGTTGATTTATTTATTTACTTTGCCTCTAAAAGAAACATAACAGGATCGCCATGATAAACTTCCTAGAGTGAGAAACAAGGTAATTATGATTCTTCCAGTATCATGTTATTTTATTTATGATGATTGTTGCCTGATAAGTTTATCACTGCTTCACTTAAAAGTCTTACATGACTTAGGAAAGATAAGACCCTCTTGTTTTGCTATAAAAACCGTTATATAAGAGGGCTATTTATATGTGATCTTTATTCTTACAGGCAGCTTGTTATTTTCATAGGCGAAGGAGACAGGTATTCTTTCCACTTTAGTGAGTCAAAGCGTCCTTTGTTGCCCGTTAGTAATTGTGGTGCTTTCTTCTCCTTCCCGCCCTTCCTCATTACACTGGGGGTCAGTCCCAGAGCCTTGTGCATGCTGGACAAATGTTATTTCACTGAGCTGCATCCCAAGGCTTTTAGTCTTTATGTCTTTTGATCTAACATGGATCTTTTGGCATCACCATATAGTTGGACCATGGTGGTTTAAAACAATTCTGTCAATGTATTTTGATTGAAAAGTTTACTATGTTTATACATAAAGTGCTACAGTCTATAGGACCCAGTCACAAGGCACTGGGAGTATTGCCTTTTGTATTATGGCTGTTCTTTTTTTTTAATTAATTAATTTATTTATTTGTTTTTGAGAAAGGGTTTCTCTGTGTAGTTTTGGTGCCTGTTCTGGAATTTGCTCTGTAGCCAAGGCTGGCCTCGAACTCACAGAGATCTGCCTGGCTCTGTCTCCCAAGTGCTGGGATTAAAGGCGTGTGCCACCGCCGCCCTGCACGGCTGTTCTTACAGTGAATCTCTTGTGAAATCATAAGCTCTCCTTTTTGAGTGGAACCCGTCTCAAAAAAGACCCAGCAGTGTGTAAATTACTGGACACAATTTCTCCCATATGCTGGGTGACTTCCTCCCCACTCCGTGGGACCTTTGGTAAGAGAATCTAGTCTTACAGTCAATAACCTTGGTTCCCACAGCCTAATCTCCGCTCCATTCCCTGAGACAAACATTAGACGCTTGCTCCCTGCCATTATCTCCCATTTGGCAGGACATGTGGCCGGGAAGGGAGTCCTTCAAATAGATCACATTTAGGACCTTCACAGATAAAGGGGCATCCTGGTCCTGCCTGATTATGGAGAGTGAGTGTCCTAAATTTTCCAACAACCAGCTTGGGAAAGTGCTAATCTCCAGCTCCACCCTAAAAGCTATTAATTCCCTCCATCTACCCTCATCTCCGTTTGTTGATTCAGGATTGTAACCTAGGAATGTAGTATCATGCACGAACTCCCCTTCTCCCTACTTAAAATTTAAAGCTTCCTAATTCAACTTTTCTGCCTCTTAATGCTGTCCGGGTGTCTTTCTGGCCACGCCTCCTTGGGGCCCAAAAGATGCTGACAGTGTCACTCGGGATAACTCCTATCTGCTGCTTGTTCTTGAGAAAAACATTCCAGCTCTGTAACTTTGCAATTGCCAGAGTACAGTTGTGTGTGTGCATACACAGAAAAACTTTGCAGGACGAGAGCATTAATAAAGAAACTGGCCAAAAAAAAAAGAGAGAGAGAGAGAGAGAGGCAGAGAGGGTTTTTACCCTCAGATCCCTTGAGCCTTATGCTGGCGGTAGCCTTCCCTCTGAACCCTGAGAGGGCATTGAGGCTGCCTCTCAATAGCCCTTGTTAATAAACCATTAAGCAATAGTAATTAAGAAAGGAGCTCTGCCTCTTTTTTTTTAAAGAAAGGGTTTCACTGTGTAGCCCTGGCTATCCTGAACTCTGTAGACCAGGCTGGCCTCATACTCCCAGAGATCTGTCTGCCTCTACCTCTCTAGGCTAGGATCAAAGGTGTGCACCACCACTCCCAGTTAGTTCAGCCATCTTTCTGTTTTCTTGGTTCTATCTTTCCCCTCACTAATTGCTCCATCCTTGGTGGTTCTTTCTCTAATCTGTTTTTGTGCTGACATGCAGTGATTTCCTTCTTGTTTTGTCTTGTGTGTATTTTAATAACTGTTTAGATTTATTTATTTTATGTCTTTTAATGCGTTGTCTGCATGGATATCTGTACATCACGTGTATCTCTGGTACCCAAGGAGGGCACCAGTTTTTAGACCTCTAGTCTATAGTTGGCATCATGGATGTACCCTGTAATTTTCTTTTTCTTTTCTTTCCTCTTTTTTTTTTTTTTAAGATTGATTTATTAAATATACAGTGTTCTGCCTGCAGGCCAGAAGAGGGCACCAGTTCTCATTACAGATGGTTGGGAGCCACCTTGTGGTTACTGGGAATTGAACTCAGGACCTCTGGAAGAACAGCCAGTGCTTTTAACCGCTGAGCCATCTCTCCAGCCCAATAACCTGTAATTTTCTAATAGTGGAGCTGACTACACAGAGTAATATATTCCTTTCCACCTTTAGTACAAGATACCACAGAAGAAAGAAACATATTTTCTCTCCACTTGGGAGGCGTGAAACCCAAGATCAGATATTGGGCATTGTATTTTCTTCAGCAGTGTCTGTTCCTATACTCTTAACTACTCTTTTTGATCACTATTAATTTTTTGTCAAAACCTTGAATTTTTGAAGATATAGAAGCCTACTGATTACTTTTCCCTTTAAATTGTCTTTAATATCATCAGTCTCCTGTTACAGTTTGATGGAAGTGTCCCTCACAGGCTTGGGTGTTGAGCACTCGTTTCCCAGTCAATGGGTCTATTTTCAGAGGTTCTGGGAACTTTGGGAGGTGGGGCTTAGCTGGAGAAAGATGGTTTCGCAGGAGCATATCATTGGGAACTCTTGCCTTGGACGTCTTTCTCTTTGCTTTTCGCGTTCTGCTTTGAAAGGCCCTTGCCCTGCTGCCTTGAGGTTCTGCCTAAGCATGTAAAGCCAGGCAACCTGCGAAACCGTGAGCTAAAAGGAATCTTCCCCTTTTAAATTCTCTCAGGTATTTTAGCATTTAGTTTCATAAAAATAACTAACATAGAGAAGTGGTATCAGAGAACCAGGTAATTGCCTTGGGATAATGCTTTTGTACACTGGTTTAATAAAAGGCTGATTGACCAGGAGCTGGGTAGGAAGTATAGGCAGGATAAGCAGACATGGAGAATTCTGAGAAGAGAAAGACTGAGTCAGGAGATGCTGTTAACCGCTGCCAGGAGAAGCAAAATGTAAAAGTACTGGTAAGCCACAAGCCATGTGGCAAAGTATAGATTTAGAAATGGGTTAGTTTAAGATATAAGAGCTAGCTAGTGAAAAGCCTAAGCCATTAGGCAATCTCATTTGTAAATAATATAAGCCTCTGTGTGTTTATTTGGATCCGAGAGGCTGCGGGACCAGTGGATGAGAGAGATTTGTCCTGACTGCAGGCTGGGCCGGGGGAGGGGGGGCACACATGAAAACTTTCAGCTACAGGTAATTGCTTTGATTGAATCTGATCATATGAGTCTTTATCCTCTGAAATTGTTTTATAGGAGACATTTGAAAGCAGCTCCAGTGAGGGCTTAGAAGACCAGAATGTCTAATAGAAATCAAGGTGGGAAAGGCTGCAGGAGCTGTGCTGGGAAGTAGACTGGAGGCCTTTCAGATTGTTCTGAGACTGTCCGACTTGTGGCACTACCGGAGAATTAATTTGGTAGAAGACATTTTGAGACAGAATTGCTTTCAGGCTATGGCATTTTTATTCTTGGAAGCTTTGTAATGAGAGGTTTACAATGAGAATTGGGAGCAGAAAGTGTAGTAGAAAGATTTGAAAAATACTGTTTGGTCAGAAAACGAACATATTTAAATTCATGGAAAGAAGGACTCTTGATTCCCACTGTAAACCAGGCTAAAATTAGTGTGGTTCTAAGAAGTAGAAATTTCAACTCATCTGAGAAACTTTGTCTTGAGAAGACAACACACCACCCAAGAAAGGGCTGCCTAAGAAAGTGTCTTCTCTGCTCAGCCACTCAGCTTCTCAGAGGCCACTGCTCTCATGGTGCAAGGGAGCATAGCATGACTGCTTGAGTTGGCAGCAGACCACGGCTTCATTTGCTGATTTGATACTCATTTTGCAGGCATACGAAGTGCAAGAGTGCAGTGTCATGAGTGCTTCCATGCCTGGTTTTGTTTTTGTTTTCATGGGATGCTGGTAACTGAACCCAGGGACTTGTGGATGCTAAGCAAGTAGTTGCCCTCTGAAGCCCCGCTACATCCTTTGAGACAGGTTCTTGCCCAAGTTGGCCTTGAACTTGTGGTCCTCTTGCCTTTGCCTCCCAGCTGCTATGAGTCACCACATCTGGCCTCTTCCACCAACCTGTCTTTCTAAATACTTTCCTGGAAAGTAAGGCAGATGCGAATAGAGTTGGGTCCCGTGGGCAGTCCCTGAGGAGGGGTTGTGTGCAGATAAGAGTGTGAAATCTAAGCTGCAGTGGAAACCCCACGATGTAGGAGACTCAAAGAACAAAAAGACTTGCCAAAGAGAGCCAGTCACATGGGTGGAACCAGCCCAAGTGAGAGGCCATGTAGGCTGCAGACCGCTAGGCCATCTGACCGAAGTTGCCTAAAGCCTTTGGAGCTGACAGCATGGCACTTTGTGTCCCCAGGTACAGGACATGGAACTACAGAATTTAACGTTTGCCTCACTAGGTTTCAGTCCTGTTTGAGTCTTCCTTTCTATGAAGCCCAGATTCCATTTGAAGTATGAATTTTAACTCAATGTTATGTATGTTGATAGTCTGTAACTTGGTTTATATTAATTTGTGTAGGCACTTGTAGCTAAGAGTTTGCCCTAACCCTCAGGGGAAGCTTTGAATTTAAATTTTTGAACAATGTTGAAACTGTTAAGACTCTGCAGTCCCTTGGGGATGAACTAATTGCATTTTGTGTTATGACATGGCCATGAGTCTTTGAGGAACAGGAGTGGAATGTTATGATCCTAAAGTGGAATTCCCCGAAGGCAGATGTCCTGAACACTTACTTGGTCCCCAGT